TTTTTTTTTTGCTTATTCGACGTCGATTTTATGTTTACTGACAAGGCTAAAATCTGTGTTGAGCAATCTTATTTTTTAATTGTATCTTTACAAAAAGTAGGTTTTTTTTTATGTTTATGAACAGTTTCTGTTCTTTTTTATATGGTCATGGTTTATGAAGATTCTGGGATCAACTTATGCATTTAGTACGCCCAAAAAGTTTTACTCAAACATTTTTTGGACTAATAGTAAGGTTACATAAATCTTGTGTAATTTTATACTGTTTTTTACTATTGTTGATCAGCTTACTACTCTGCGTGTACTTATAGACTGTCTAACATGATCACTTAGGTTTACAAAATAACAAATAACATCTTTTATTGCAGAAAATTGGTTTTTTATTAAGAAACAATTTTTTTTATGCCGAATTCTAAAAGCAGTTACTCGTTAAAAACCTATGTAAAAGGTGTTTTGATGTCCGGCTACAAATCTAATTCTTTCAAAAAAGAGTTAAAAACTACAAATGACTATAGCGACAACCAATATTTATTTTGCTCAAGAGTTGTTTGAAATAAAATTATTGATGTAATGAATTTTTTTTTGCCTATAGCAGCACGGAAGATGAATGGGAATGGTGAAAGTATCAGAAAAGAAGCAGAATTTGAAAAACTCAAAATAATTTACCACCACCTAAAATCTAATTATCAGAGGAACTGTGTTGAAAACTGTTTTAGACAAATGCTGTAAAGACACCGACAAAAGTTGGAAGCACTGTAAATTGTAGAGCAAATATAAAATTCTATTAGTCAGTCAATGCCTCAAAAAGTGATCGGACTTCGCAGAACATTGACAGGCTTATTTGATCTGGCTTTTTTTTTTCTAGTAACATTGGCACTTGTTAGTCGTGACTTTTATTTAAGTTTCTAACAAAATCGTTCAATATACCTTGTGACTAAAATACTAAAATAAACCGATTAAAAAAGACACTAAAGTTTTTTCAAAAAAATGCAATAAAATAAAACTTAACAGGCATATACCGCTGCCATGTATAATACGTTACCTTATGGCAAAAACATGACAATAATCTGTATTAGAAAGTTTATCGACAAGGTAGAACTTGGAAAACGAAATGGAAAACAGATGAACAAGGAACTCTGATTGTGCTGTGAGAAATTCGCGTGCAGCATTAAAATCTGTTCAATATTTTTCAGTAAACTGTAGTATCATTTGAGAACCACTTAAGCATATAAAACATTATAAAAAGTATGCTGTTTTTGTTATTGTTAAACCAGCATTTAGACTATTTGTGATTAAACCAAATGAAGCAGAAATGATAAGGTACAATATGCAACAACGAATAAAAAGGTTAAATAAGTTGACCAAAATCATCTTAACAGTTGGAATTTGTGAGCATTGTGAAATGGCCTCTGAAACGAGGCAGAACATTTGAAACTAAACATTGTTTACTTGATTACTACGTGTTTTCGCATCCACCTGTTACACAGATTTTAATCATAAGAAATTAAAAATTATCTGCTTAAATCTATTTTTGTCGATAACGAAGCTAAGTAAAGCGTAGCTTGTTAAATTTGTCCATTTTTTTTTGAACGCATTTCACCTGGAACTAGATATTATTTCTATCAAGCGAAAGAGCTGCTTTAAGCTAGCGAAGTCATTAATAAAAATGATATCATTCTAATTTATTGGTTTCTGTTGAAAGTTGTGTAACCAGGTGAAACGATTTTTTAATAGCTGCTGAAAATTTTTTGATTTATAAGTAAGTCACTTTTTTTGCAAATTAAAGTCGAGATGAAAGAAGGAATAGCAATATAAAATAAGAAAAGTTTTAAAGAAAAGAATTAATGATGAGGAGACTCTCAAAAGAAGAGTTTTCAACTGCTTCGAGAAGCAACTCTTCAACGATTTATACCTATGCAAAAAGTGTATTTTACGAACGGATGTGTCAGCTTTTTTCATCTTTTTTTCCAACAACAAATTGTTTATTTGATGTATAAAAAAGAGCAAAAAATAGACCGTCCTGAGAAACTCGCTTTTTTGCCGTATTGTTGAGCATATTTAAGCCTCATTTGAGAATCATAGCAAAAATATTTATCTTTTCGGAACAGTGGTCTCTGGAATGAGGTACTGGAAAATTGTACTCAAAATTACTGTTTTTGACATCTATCAAATTTTACAGCCTCTTTGTTTGCTTCTTTCCTGTTCTCAACTCCTTCCTCTTTTCAATTCCACTTTAATGTCAGCCGTAATTAATTCCTGTTAATAGTCGTGCTCAAATCTTTTAGAGCATGTTTAGTCAAATAATATGCTCTTTGGCATATCAGCACTGTCTAAAGTTTCGTGACTTATTTTATTTTTATTGTCTACCTGTCAAATTTTAAAGTATATCATGTCAACTGAGTAAAAACAGCCAGGCACTTGCAGTTGCAGGACTTTTTAATTAATAAAATTCAAGCTGCTGTCTTGTTTCTACTTCATTCACTTTCTAGTTAAATTGTTTAACAGAGGTAGCCAAGCTTAAGGTGATGCAAAATTGATATTATTATTATAGACACTCTGTTATCTTGTGGTTAGGTAAAGGTTGCAGTGCTTTAACATAAACCCAAGTTTCGCAAAAGATGACTTTATATACAGCTATAAAGAAGCGTAAATAAAAGATTTCGCTTGTACAATGGTAATCTTCTCACTAATACATCAGGCACGTCACTGCTCAAAGTCGTATCATAGTAGCCATTAGGATTTTTATACAGCGGAACTGACGGAATTGGTTGCACCAGTAAATAAAGCCAGTGACTACTGTTTAGCTGTTAGATAAGCTGATTTGAACATGAACAGAGATCTTTTACGTCGCCTGCAGCACCCGCAACAAGATGGTACACAGCAGCAACACGACGGTGCACAGCAGCAGCAAGATGGTGCACAACAACAACATGGTGATCCACAGCCACAAACTGTTGGTCCACTACAACAACCGGTGCAGCAAGAAGGAGCTCCACAGCTGCTACAACAACAACAGGGCTGGCCAATACTGGTAGCTGTTACAGCTAATCTGCTTTTGACAGCACAGGTAATTGGAGACGGCTGGACTTGACAGGTAATTGGAGGCGATTGAACCGAAGCGCAAACTGGACAGGGCTGCACAGTACAGCAGGTAGAAGGAGGTTGTAGCGTACAGCAACTCGATGGTGACATACTGCCGCCACAGCAACAGCACGGTGAACAGCAACAGCAAGATGGTTGGCAGCAGCAGCAACACCTGAAACGGGAATTTAGAGAGTCAACTAATTGCTATTGTAGCTTGATTACTTTTTTTTTAATCTTTTGATTAAACTGCTCAATTTTGTACATGTTTTTGAAATGCCTAATGATTTATGTAGAAGTTTTATACCAAAACCTCACCTTCTAGTTCTGTTAGCAGTACTGAGAGCAAGAGTATTGTAAAGTGGAACGTTGGAATTTGTTTCTTTCGGTACGGTTGCTATGATTACTTTTTGATCTTGATGCTGGTAAACGGGAGCACCCTGTAAGTACCGTTATTTCAGCTTCATTTATGTGAAGATTTTTAAGTTATAGTTTGAATGCTGCAGTTTTTCCAAAATTTCAGGAACAGGATTTTTGTAAAACCAGTTAATAAGTAAACTGAGAATTTTAAAATTATTTGAAACAGATCATTATTATTACATAAAAATACTCCGTGAGTTTGTTGGTTACGGATGAAAAAGAAAATTCACTTACTGAAGCTATGCTGAATACGACTAGTAGCGTCGCAATTGTGAGAATATGGATTTTGTACATTGTTAATCAACGTTAATAAATTAACAGATGAATATGATTTATAGTCAAAGTTGCGCCTCGTTTTATATGCTTTCTGGATACAATGTGGACAACAGCTTATGGACCGGTATTCATTAGTTACGAATGTCAATATTCTGTCATTAGACGTCTCACTGTAGGAGAAAAGCTTTTTGTTGCCACTGTGTAAAATCAGGATTATCCTGTTGTAATGTGTTAAAAAAAAAACGAAACTGTTTCAGAAGTTTTTTCATAAAATTGTAGTTTTTATTATTTCCGCACTGAGGTACCGGAGATACTTTTGATTAAAAATATGCATCAGCTAAACAATGCTCATCTTTGACAATTAAGTTTTTCTTGCAAAAAAAAAAAAAAAATTCTTGGCTTTGGTATAACTATTCCTATCATAAATTATAGATACTTAAATACCTGGACTATTTTGCCACCAATATCGTCTGTTTTATTAAAAACCACTTCAAACACTTTTGTTATGACGTCACAACAAATGTTGAAAAATGTTATTTCCTCTGAAATCCGTCTTATAATAATGTGCAAACATCATTTTATATTTTACACTCAATAGCAATTAAAAAAATTATAACTTTTTACCTTTTTGATCGTTTGTTGTATTGTGCTTTGTAACTGTATCAGTGTATGATAAATGACTGAGGAAAACCATTGGTCTGTTGTCCAAAATTTCTTTTTTTTCTGACAATATTTTCATTCTTGAAACATTAAGTGTGCGGATAAAATTTACTATTTAGATGCATTTATTGTACTCATAGCAAATACGCAAATAATTTTGAAGATTTCAAAATTGAAATCTAAATTGAAAATCAATAATAAAAGTTGCTTGCAAAAAAAAACTGTTTAGAGTTTTTGTAAAAATGTTCAAGTCTATAATTGTAAAATTATTGGCTTCAATTCATTACAGTTGTTAACCATCACCAAAATCACTTTTTTTTAATGCAAAAATGTTTGCAGAATAGACATTTTTCCTCTTTTGGTTTATCTGTTTAAGGGGGGTTCTAATTTGGTATTAGTTGAAAAGGAAAAGGAAAAAGGAAAGACGATTTACTACCAGTCATATAACAACCGTTTCTGAGCAAAATTTTATTAAATACAATTTTAAGAATACTGCAGTTTAGAAGATGATCAAAAAAA